TGGATCCTTCTGTTCAGTGATCACACTTTCCGTCTCCAGCCCAGGGTGCTCTGGAGCTCTTTGTATAGCCCTCACCTGTTACTGAGGGGCTTGTGTGCAGGTGGGGTGTGGCCTCATTCACCACCCTACCTCGTGTTCCTTCCTAGGTGGTGGAGCTGCCACTGCAGGGGACTGCCTGCACCTTCCCAGGCCCTGCTTTGGGGGGCTCTGTCCTCAAGGATTTACGTTTGCATTTTTGGTCAGCTTCTTTTTTTAAAAAATATTTATTTAGTTGTTGATAGACCTTTATTTTATTTACTTATTTATATGTGGTGCTGAGAATCGAACCCAGTGCCTCACACATGCCAGGCAAGTGCACTACCATTGAGCCCCAGCTCCAACCCTTGGTCGCTTCTTGATAGTGCCACCTGCAGCCGATCTTGACAGTTGCTGCTGAGGGTTCTGGGCCTGTGGAGCATGAGCCCTGCCTGGGTTGGGAGACCAGCCCTGGGCGGGTGCAGTGGCCACTGCCAGGCTCCACAGTGCTTCAGTCTGTCCCATCCCCATGCACCCTGGGGGCACTGGTTCTCAAGTCTCTTCAGAGGTGCAGAGGATGGTTGGGAGAGCTCAGACACCCTGGAGCCTGTTCCTCTGGTGGTGGCTTGGTCTTCATGTTTTAGTGACGCTCTTTGGATTGTTGCAGACCTCTCTGAGGCCCCTCAGTTCTGAGTAAGGTGACTCCACAGTGTTTGGGGCCTTCTAGAAGCACTTCTTATATGGTTTTTCTTTTTTAAAAAAAGAGATTGTTTCATTGCTATGTTAATTCATCTAAGTGAACTTTAAAAACATTTTTCACTTAGGAAAAAAGAGTTGTGTACCTTTTAAAGCTGAAGGAACCCTGGTGTCTGACTACCTAGTATTGTCATGACCATGACCCCTTGATGGTGGATAATTTCCTGATGTGACTATCTCCGATGATCTTGGCCACCAGCGCACAGGGGCTGCAGCTGCATCCCAGGACAGGACTCTGTCCTCCTGGTTGTGATTCGAGGACTTCATGTGAGCCTGTGCCTGCCTGGGTGGCAGGTGGCAGGCACTGTCTTGTGGGGAGAGGGGCTCAGGAGATGCTCCCTGAATGTGCTGGAATCTCGTGAGCTGCAGAGAAGTGGGTGCTCCTTTCCCAGATCAACACACTGACGTTGGTGTTAATGTCCTTCACACAGGCTGCATTGGAGAGTGAGCAGGAGCCTGCGGCGTGTGAACAGGAGAGTGAGCAGGCGCGGTCTCTCTGCCAAAGGAGGAGCAGGCCTCTGCAGCCCCAGGAGGACAGCCAGGTTCAGCAGGTGTGTGGTGGAGTGGGGGTACCGCTCAGTGGCAGGGAGCACTTTCTGCATGAGCAGCTTCACCTGCAGCCCCGCATGACCCTTCCCCGCACACACCTGGATCATGCTCTCCATGGGAGGACTCAGGTCCCCCACAGCCTAACACCCCCGCTCTTCTTCCCATCTGGGATCTGGCTGCTCGTGGGCTTCACGGTCCTGGACACGTGCAGGCCTGCTCCTTCGGTGACTGGAGCCTTCGACTCACATAGCCCCTTGGGTCCTCTGAGCGGTGCCACTGTGTGCAGCTTCATTCCTTCTTGGAGTGGGTGGCAGGCCATTGCCCTGTCTCCTGTGGTCCTGCGTGATGCTGCTGGGAAGGCTGACCCAGCCCGTAGGTCTTCTGGGCCGACGTCGGAGGGGTTGCTGTGTCCCGTGCGTGGCGCTGTGTTCAGCCATTGCAGCATGACCGTTCCTCACTCTCTCCTGCCAGCGAGCCCCAGGGTTCTGTCCCTCCAGCCCTTACCCAGTTATCTTGTGCTTTGCTGGTGGCAGCCATTGATGATGGGTGTGACGCAGTGGCTCGCTGTGGTTTTCCCTGGTGGTGTGATGCTGAGCGTCTTTTCCTGTCCTTAGTGTCCTTTTGTCTCTTCTTTGGAGAAAGGCCTGTTAGTTCCTCTGCCTGTTGTGAGTCAGGAGGTTGGTTCTTGCTGCTGTGTTGGAAGGTGTGGCTGTTTCCACGCTGTGTGGCCACAGCCCCTGCTGGTCTCTCACTCCACCTCTTCCCTGGCTTTGCTGCAGTGCAGGGCGCCGGGCTTGACCTCACAAGGAGCTGGAGGTGAGTGTGCTAGTGCGTGCCTGCCAGGTACTGTCCTGGGGATGCCAGTGTTCTCGCTTCTGAATCCTCAGGGCTCTGGGGCCTGGGGAAGCACCTTCCCGACTTCCAGATCCTGCGGTTGCTGAGAAGCAGCTCGTCTGACTGCAAACACTGGCGGAAGGTTTCTGTGGGATCGTGGCAGTGGTCAGTCAGCAGCAACAGTCCAAGGGACCTCTTCCCAGCTCAGAGGCTCCTCTTGTGTGGAAGCCAGTGGCCTTGTTCAGGGCCACTGGTGGGGGCAAGGGGTAGCAGTACCAGTGAGGCTGTGGGGGGTAATTTCATCCGAGCCCCCGGACTCTGAGGAACGGAGGCCTTCCAGAGTATGTCTGAGACCTCTTCCTAAAGGAGCTGGCCTTGTTTCTTCCTCCTTCCCCACCCCTCTCCCTCTCCCTCCCACCCTCTCTCAAACTCTCCCCCTCTCCAGGGATTCAACCAAGGGGGCCTAACCACATCCTCAGCCCCTTTAAAAAACTTTTTACTTTGAGACAGGGTCTTGCTCAGTTGCTTAGGGCCTTGCTAAGTTGTTGAAGCTGGCTTTGAACTTGATCCTCCTACCATAGCCTCCTGAGTTGCTGGGATTATAGGTGTGCACCACCACACCCAGCTGGGAGCAGGCATTTCTGCTATGACCCATGTATACATCCCTGAAAAGCTACTTATTCTGTTAAAAAAAAATACAGCTCATGGGTAAGTGGGGTTAGAAGTTTTATTAGTCAAGATCCATGCAGTTTTATGGCCCAGTTACCGACAAAAATAATTGTAACAACAACAACAAAAAGAATTAGCTGGGCTGGGGTTGTGGCTCAGTGGTAGAGCGCTTGCCTACCACATACAAGGCACTGGGTTTGATCCTAAGTACCACATAAAAATAAAGTAAATGAAACAAAGGTATTGTGTCCAATTACAACTAAGAAAGATTTTTTTTTTTCTAAGTAGTAGCCCAGTTAACCAGCTACCTAGGAGGCTGAGGCAGGCAGGAAGATCACAAGTTTGAGGCCAAGATCCTGTCTCAAAATTAAAACACACACACACAACTATAAGGGGCTGGGATGTAGTTCAGTGGAGGAACACCCTGGGTCCAAAACCCAGGTACCAGAAATACACAGACAGCCAAAGTTAAATTCTAAATCTAGAAAGAAATTGTAAAGTTGACGCCATGGTGAGCCCTTAACCAGTGGGCGCTGCGGGTGGGAGGGTATGGGCGGTGCCAGCAGCTGGAGATGGTCAGGAGCCCTGTGGTGAGTGGCACAGGCAGGGGCACGTGGCCGTGGTTCCCTGTCGGCACAGGCTGTGGTGTGCCAGGAAGCCTGTCTGCAGTTGCTCCTCAGGCAGACCAGACACTGAACATATTGTTTGTATTGCAAAATGATCCTGCAAGCATTTAAAACACATAGTGGGTGTCCTGGTGTCCTGGCGCTTGGCCTCTGCAGCCCACCGTGGCCCTCTCTGAGCTCAGGCCCTTTCCCTCTAGCAGAACTGCTGTGCTGACATCCTGCCACTCCTGTCTAATTCTGCCTGCTGTGGTCTTCATACAAGGGTGTCTGTGATCGCCTCTTCCGGGCGCAGACCATGGTGTGTGTGAAGCTGCACCGCTGTCCTTCCCCAGTGGCCCCTGGTACCGATGCGATGCCCTGTGCCCCTTCTCTCCCAGTAGCCTCTCGTTCCTGTGTGACATGTGCCCACTTCCCCTTCCCTCCCTGGTGGCCCCTTGCCCCACGCGATGCCCTGTGTGCTTTGGCGGTCCTGCTTTCTAGCTGGGCTTTCCCTGCCTGCCCCCTGGAGCTCCTCTAGGGGTGCACTGTAGGTCTGGTGTTGCTGCTCTTCCTTTGGTCAGGTCATGCAGCTCTGTTGTGAGGTGGCTCCCAGCTTGTCTCCCCTAGCTGCCCGTACCTGCCCCTCACCTGTGGGGCCTGCTTGCCACTCCCAGCTCACGGCTGTGTGGTGGTGTGTTGGGGGTCTGAATGTGTGCCCCCTGGTGTGCTAATAGGATTGTGCACCTGTCAACGTGTTTATGCCTGTTGTGTTTCATCTCTGTGAAATACTGGCTTGTGTCTTTTGTCTTTTTTTTTTTGGTCTGTTTTTTGCAGACTTATGGCAGTTCTTCATATAGTCTGGATTTTTTTCTGATGTGTTTTTTTCTTCTTGGACGTTTTATGAGTGTGATTTGATTGATGGATTCGGTTCCATTCCTTTCCCTCTATCCTTGCTTGGGCGCCTTCCCCTGCTTGCCACAGTCATTCTCCAAGCTCAACTCACAATCAGTCATGGCCAGCTCCTCCCTGCATGGAGGGCGTGAGGAGGGCTGGCACTGCCCTGTTAGGTGAGTCCCTGGGGTTTTGAGCCCTTCACTCCCATGTCCAGTCAGGGCTTGGAGATGCACTGGAAGTGGGCGTTCACGCTGCCAAGAGGGGTTTCAGAACAGCCTGTCGTTGCTGGCTCAGCCCTGGGTTCCTTTTGCAGACTTGGCTCTTGGTGCTGGGTTTACATGCAGGTTCTGGAGCTGGCACTGCGGTTGCTCACACAGGCTGTGGTGCTGGTGTGGAGCGGCACTGCCTTTCCCTGGGTGAGGAGTTCATGTCCTCCGGGGCAGTGTCTGTGCAGGTGTCTTTCTGGGTTAAAGAAGGCTCCTTCTGTTCTTGGTTTGTGATGGATTTTTTTTTTTTTAAACCGTGAGTAGGTATTAAATTTATTTGCTTGTGCATTTGGCACTGCATTTCTTCATTCAGTCTGGGCATGTGTGAGCTGCAATAATTGGTCCTAACATTGTGTAGAAACCAACCTGAGTCTTTGTGATGAGCTGAGCTGGAGCATGATTTTCATGGACCCCACTGGATTCTATTTTCTAGTATTCTTTTTTTTTTTTAAAAATAAAAAACCCCTTTATTTATTTATTTTTTTAGGTGTTGATAGACCTTTATTTAGTTATTTATATGTGGTGCTGAGAATCAAACTAGTGCCTCATATATGCCAGACAAGTGCACTGTCGCTGAGCCAGAATCCCAGTCCCTTCTAGTATTCTTTTTTTATGCTTTTGCACCTGTAGCTTTTATTCTGCTTGACCTATAGTTCCCTTTTCTTTTATGGTACAGATTCATAAAATGAGTGACAAGTATTCTCCACCCCTCTCTTTTTTCTGGAAGGATTTGGGCAAAATTAGAATGGCTTGAAATAAGTATTTTCTTAAAATCCTTCTGAAAGTTAATTTCTCGGGAAGACTTTAAAGTACTCATTTCCTGTCTGCATTTTAGTAGGGTTATTTTTATTTTCTGTCTTTTAACGTGGCTGTGTTGAGATGCTCACCTGCACTGCTTTTTTTGGTCAATGAACTCGAAGACTGTTACCCCCACCTGCGGGCAGGATGGGATCAGCAAGTGGACATTAGCTCTTTGTGTGGCCACTGGTAGGACTGACCTTGCCTAGGGGCTCCCTGGCCTATAGCTAGCTGTCCACCGTCTACCATCCACTGTCACACACCAGTGGCTGGGCCTATAGCCCTGTCTTGAGCCACCTGGGACACAGTTCCCTGTGCTGATAGCATTTTGATACATTGCTCGTCTTCTGTCTTTGGTCATTGTTTGACACCTTGAAACCTGAAATTCCCTGTTTGACTTTCCCAGACGCCTGTGTCTTTGTCTTGGTCTCTTCAGTGGTTTTCTAGAAGTTTTATTTTTGTTTCTCCTCCACTGCACTGTGTGTCCTTGCAGTGAGGAACGCTGCCTGCTTTCAGTGTCTGCTGTTACTGTGGGCCTCCTCTGCCCTCCCTGCCCAGGCTCGGTGACCCCGCGGCTGCTTACCCTCAGGGTGGAAATGTGCTGCCGGTTTTGAGCTGTCATGGTGCCTGACTTCTCTCCTGGTGGCCACTTGCTTTTGGCTCCTCCCCTCTGTTCCTGAGCTGGAACCTGCTGGCCCGACACTGTCCTGTACCTGCCCTGTGGGTGGATGGCCACCTGGGCTGTCCACAGCGAAAGCATGTGCATGGCTTCTGGCCTGGCATCTCTGCCCCGTGCAAGGCAGTGCTCTGTGGCACTTTCCTCTCCTGTGTGGCCGGTGCCGGTGTGCACCTCAGTGGGTTAGTCCCGGGAAGTCCCTGTCACTGGCAGTTGGCACAAGGCAGAGACCCGTGGATTGAGGGCTCCAGCTGGTGTGTTTATCTTCATCTTTTCTAAGTGACACAGAAAAGTGGCTGAGTTCTCTGGCCAGTGCTTGGGGCAGCCCCAGGGAGTCCGAGAAAGCTGGTGCCAACCCACCTCCTCCTGGCCCCTTCTGCTGAGCTGCTGAGGTTTTGAGGTTTGTTGTCTGCTTTTTAACAGGTATAAGAAGAATTTTTGCCTGCTTGGCAACTAATTTTTTATTGTGAATGACCAGATGCAGGGATTTTGAGTTGTATTTGTGAGGTGAATTTGACAAATCTGTCCCTTCCTTCCCCTGGTGGCAGTGCAGATTGGGGTTATTTATATATTCTTTTTTTGTAATTGGTGGATAATGGAAGGAAGGAATCTGTGTCACTAATTTTCCTCTCTAATCACCCTCATTCACCTTTAGCGTTTTTTTTTCACATGCAGCCTAGGAAGTGAGGATGGGACTTTCTTGTAGACGCCGTTCTGACTAAATCGTCTCACTGAGGTTTGGCAACTTCTCTCTGCAGCTGAAAGGCCAAGTCCTGTCCTTAACCCAGGAGGTGGAGGAGTGCCGGGCTGAGCTTGAGAGGTTACGGCAGAGGCGTGAGAGGGAGAACCAAGAGGGCGCCACCCTTGTCTCCATGCTCAGGGCGGATGTGGACCTGTCTCAGAGCGAAAGGTCAGCATGTCCCCTCACCCCACCTCCTGTTCAGTTACCTGGCCATTGTGGCTGCCTCCCTAGACCCACTGTGCTTCTGTGGGGCTGCTGTGCAGGTGGAGGTCTGGTGGGCGTAAACCCTGGCCACACCCTTCTTCACACACTAAGAGTACTTGGGAGCATGCAGATGCCTGCATACCTGCCACCTTGCTTGGTCATATCTTCACGTTTTATATTACAAAAAACCTTGAAGCCTGGCACAGTGGTGCACGCCTGTAATCCCAGTGGCTCGGGAAGCTGAGGCAGGAGGATCACAAGTTCAAAGCCAGTCTCAGCAACTTAGCAAGGCCCTAAGCAACTTAGTGAGACCCTGTCTCTAAATAAAAAACAAATGGGCCTGGAGATGTGGCTCAGTGGGTAAGCACCCCTGGGTTCAATCTCTGGTACCAAAAAACAAAAGAAAAACCCACGAAGACTCATGATCTCACTTCCTCCCACCCAGAATCAGTTCCCTGCCCTGACAGCAGGCAAGTCTTCCACATGTCCTCTCCGAGTGCATAGGCTGTGTGCCAGCTGTCCTCTGTGTGCCAAGGCACATGCCCACTGGACACTGGCTGGCCTGCAGGCTGGCTAGTAGCCTCCTCAAGCTGGATGCAACTCTGCTTGACTGTGCTCCGCCCTCAGGGGAGCGCTCCGTGATGCCCTGAGGAGGCTGCTGGGTGTGTTTGGAGAGACACTGAAGGCCGCTGTTGCCCTGAAGAGCCGGATTGATGAGCGCCTGGGGCTCTTCCTGGACCAGGCAGAGGCAGGCCAAGCCCCATCAGCAGGTGCCAGCACTGGGTGGCTCACCTAGGGGTCTGGGGCCTTGGGGGAGGAGCTGCTGTGCCAGGATGCTCTTTTTCCTTGCCAGTGCCCCTCTTAGGGAGGCGAGGTGGGACAGGCCAGGGCAGAGCTGCCTGCTTCCTGTGGCGGTCGCTGTTTCACTTAGGAGCTGGGTCCATGTTCTCTGTGTGCACGCGCTGGGGCTGTGGCTGGCTGGTTTGCTCACTGGGTGGTGTGTATAGGTGTTTGAGTTTGCTCATCTTGTAGCTCCGCCCCTGGAGGAGATGTGGTCAGATGCAGCCCTGCTAGAGTTGGACAGAGCTTTGCCTGAGGGTGCAGAGATGTCTTCGGTGGCTGAGATCAGCAGTCATGTGTGTGAGAGCTTTTTCATGAGCCCTGAAAGTACGCTGGAATGTGAGCAGCCAATCAGAAGAGTCTACCAGAGCCTTGGCATGGCCGTGGACGGCCTCTTGGAGATGGCGCTGGACTCCTCCAGACAGGTGAGGCCCGAGGCACACCTGAGGCTGGCAGGTAAGAGAGTGGCTGAATAGGGCATGCGGTGATGTAGCTCGGGGACATCACGTGCTCTTCCAGCACTGTTGACCCGGGATTTCTAATGGCCCGACGCTGCTACCTGTGAAGGTGGGTCCGATGTCCGGGACGCTTTCCTTGTCCCCTTTCCACTGGGCGTTGGGTCAGACACTCCTCGAGCCTGGGTTTGCGGGCCTGGCCTTGGTGTGGGTTACCTTTGCTGATCCCAGCAGCGTGCAGTCGTGTGCTTGTGTCTGGAGGAGGCAGGCCTGCTGTGAGGACATGTGGAACCTCAGGTGGTTAGTTGAGATCAGAAACCTGCTGTTTTGACTTGATGTGCTGTTGTTGTGATCCCACACTGAATGTGCACTGAGATACCAGGAGGAAGAGGCTTTGTCCCCCCCTGAAACTTGAAGAGGCTTCATGCAGGTTAGGTTCGCTGGGCAGTTGGGCATGTCCATGTGTGGCATGGCTGCGGGGGCCTTTTCTTCACCTTGTCCTCCCAGGCACCTTCTGTCCTCCAGGAGCTGGGCACATGTGGCTAGTCTCTGACAAGTAGATCCTTCTGCTGTCCCACGTGTGACCGGGTAAAAAGAGAGCCCGCTTGCTCCAGGGTGAGCCGTGGTCTTCATTAGGAGCCCACCCAGCAGAGAATATGCTTCTTCAGGGTGGGAACGTGGGGGGTTGCTGAGAGAGAGTTGGGGGCCCCTTTCTCGAGGTCCTCAGTGGAACTTCACGGTAGCCATGTGTCGCCCATGCAGGAATGGGGGACAGGAGGCTGGGAGCAGGGTTAGGGCCAGATGGGGCCTCCTGCTGGGCACCATGTGCTTGTGGGTGAGTGGGGCTTGGCTGCAGGAAGTGGGTGGAAGTGACTACAGCAGAGCGGGTGCTGGAGGTAAAGATGTCGCGACCCCTGGGCCATTTTCAAGGAAGAACCAAAAGATCTGCTTAGAGGCCAGTGGATATCCGTAGGCCCAGAAGCAGCTAGAGCTGTGTTAACTGATAGGGAGACTGAGGGCTGTCTGTAGGTGGCAGCTGGCCTTAGGCATCCTGAGTTCAGAGATCCACTGGGCCCCTCAGCCTACAGATGGCCCAGAAGCCCTAGACTGGACACACGTGCTGGGGAGACATCAGCCATGTGGGATACCACCCTGGTGACATGGCGCTGGGTGTCAGGAGGCGCAGGGATGCACCTGGTGCCTTGTCCTGCCCTGGCCCTGCGGCTGTTGATGGCCGGAGGCCTGGGATGGAAGCAGGTTCCTGCTGGTGTGGACATGCTGATCCACATGAGCTTTGGTGGTTTCTGATATGCAGCTCTGAACCTCAAATGTGTTTCAGCAGCTGGAGGAAGCTCGTCAGGTTCATTCTCGCTTTGAGAAGGAATTCAGCCGTAAGAACGAGGAGACGGCGCAGGTCCTGCACAAGCACCAGGAGCTATTGGAGTGCCTGAGGGAGCAGCGGGCGGCCAGGGCCCAGCTGGCACTGGAGTTGCACAGGGCTGAGGGTGAGTGTGGCTGCTGGGCCCCTGGCCTGGGTGTGGCCCTGTCGCAGAGGTAGGGACAGCTTTGCTGTAGAAGTCGCTAGGGAGATGGTATTTTTTTTTTAGAACTGGGGACTGAACTCAGAGCCTGTATCCCCAACCTCTGAGCCCTATACCTCTGAGCCATATCCCCAACCCTCAGCCTTTCCAGTAGCCGGGTTTACAGGTGTGTGCCACTGCGTTTGGCTAGGAGTAGCATTTTAAAGAGCAACGTATATAACTCAAGTAAATCCGCTTTGGAGCACCAGTGGGTGTTTCTTGAGGAGACAGGGGCGTGTGGGCCCAACGCAATGGTTTGGGCACCCATGTTGCTGGCAGGGCTCTTTGAAGACTGAGGGCCTTGGAGCTGTGGCTCGCACTTGGTGCTGAGCTCTCCTACTCTGCGCTGCACCTAGGTGTGGCACGCCTTCGCTCCTGGCAGTGCCGTGCTCTGCCGCGGCCCTCCTCTCCCAGCTGCCCCTCTGCTGGGTGGGGTGCTGGCGGGCATGCTTCTCAGGTCTAGCTGTACGTGGAGGCCTCTCCTCCTTCCGGGGTGGGCCTCTGCCTGCTTCCCAGCTCACATGCCGTGTCCTGGGTGGGCGCCTTGGTGCATGTGCCCTGCCCCGAGCACACTTGCCTCAGTTGGTCTCCCCTCAGGCCTCCTGGAAGGGTTCAAAGTGGAGAAAGCAGATCTGCAGGAGGCTCTGGGCCGCAAGGAGGAGTCGGAGCAGCAGCTGGTCCTGGAGCTGGAGAGCCTGGGGCGGCAGCTGGAGCAGGCCGCCCAGGAGAAGGCAGCCCTGCAGGAGGAGCGCTCCATCTTGCGGAGCCAGAGGGAAGCTTGGGCTGCTGAGGCGGAAACAAGAGAAGCAGGTAGGGATATGGGTTGGGAAGCTGAGCCCAGATTCCAGGAAGTGTGGCCCTTCTGGAGATGAGACCTGGAGCGTGGGGCTCTTCTGAGGAGTCCAGGAGTCCAGCGTAGCAGGCACTGGCAGTGGAAGGGTGGCAGGGTGGTGGGAGCACCCTCTCAGGCTGAAGGTCCCCAGGCAGTGAGCTCCCGGCTGGTGCTGTGCCCCTGGGAGGTGAGGATGTCCCTGGGCAGCAGGTTGAAGCTCCTGAAAGGTGAGCTACTCACAGTCACACCAACCCTGACTTGGGAAGTGTTGTTTTGACAGGAGTGACTTTTAGACATTTTAGCCTTAAAGAATTAAAATAGTCAGAACATGAGAAGCTCGAGAGCTGTGTTTGTGGAACATTGCAGCTTCTTCAGAGCCAGCTCCTTGCTGACGCCAAGGCTTTCCCAGGATATGAGGGGCTCGCCCTGTGGGCCCCCTTGACCTGTTCTCTCACTGTCCCACGTGGGACACAAGGGTCTGTCTGTCTCACAAATGTCCACATCTGTCCATGGGGCCACCTTGGCGGGGCCCCTCTGCTGTTCTATTGCCTGTTGGAGTGACCGTGCTGGGGGGGTGTCCTTGAAACCTGTACCTGGTGTGAGACCCTTGTTTGTTACATGCACTATCCAACCCATTTTCTATGAATTTTCATTTAATTTTTTTTTCTTTTTTAAAGAACCACTAGCTTATTGGGTGCATTGGCGCATACCTATAATCCCAGAGATTTGGGAGGCCAAGGCAGGAGGGTTGCAAGTTTGAGGCCAGCACAGACCAACTTTTGGCTTTGTCATTCCATTTTGTTCTCTGTCCTGTTTCCCTGGGCTTGCCCTTAGCTTTGCTGTTTCTCCTCCTTGAGTTCCGGAGGACCTGGGGATTCTCCTTGCCTCTCCCATGGTGTCTGCCCACATCTGTTATCCTTTGGCTTTTGAGTTCCCTCCAGGCCCTCAGCCCAGCGTGTTGTGTGGGAGTCCCTCTGTCCATGCAGTGTGAGGCTCACGGTCCTCACTGGTCACGGCGCAACATCTCCTGCTTATTGGCTCTTGTTCTCCCTCTGATACTTTGCCCATTTCCACTTCTTACTATGAACTTCTGGAGTTAAACTGACTTCCCCCCTTTGTATATGTCACTTCAGCTCTATTTCAGCTCTGTTCTTTTGTCTTAAATGCGTCTCTTACTGATCTGTGCTCCTCACTCAGCCCCGACCCCCAGGGCTGCAGGAGGGCAGTGTGGTGTCCTGGATGATCTGCTGGCCTGCCTCTTTCTCCTGCCCTTCAGGCAGGTTTTCTGCCCCACCTCTGTGATGCTCTGCATCTCCCTTTGCAGGCACTGCGGTCACTGCAGCGCCCGAGAACCCAGGTTTGTAAAAACAAGCATGATCGCTGTGTGCTGTACCTATGTTTGCATCAAATTTTGTGAATTATTTACTACAGAGGAAGGGTATCTCAGCGCTTTTGTGGCAGACTATTAAATCAAATGACACGTGATCTTCAGCACTTATTCACCACAGCTGTCAGTTGTTCTCTTGAAAGTTCCTGCCAAGTGCAGGCACTCCTCATAGCTGCTGCAGCCACTAAGCTACGCTGTGCTGATGTGTGTGCTGGGCTCTGGGGCAGGTACGGTTTTGGTGAGTGGGTCCTGCTCCCAGCCTCCTGGGAGGTCCCCAGCAGAGGGGCTGGGCCTGTGTCCCTTCCTCCAGCACTGGCCCTGAAGGTGCTCGTGTTGGGGCTGGTCGGGCCCAGGCCTTGTGGACGACATGGTCACAATAGCATGTCTAAGGTTCATGTACTGTAATTGCTTACTTACCAGCATGAGACTTTGAGAATGTTACCTTGGTGGTGATGATAGTGTGCCGTTAAAGATTGACAGCTTTCAAAACTGGTGAAATGTCAATAAGAGTGCTTATTATGCTTGCTCTTTCAGTTTTGGGGAGGAAGTCGGGATCCACCACCAGCAAGTCCCCTTTTGTTTTTCTTCAGGTATTGGAGATTGACCTGCCCCCGACCCCTACCTCAGGGGCTGGGTGCTCTCTGCCACTGAGCTACATCCCCAGTCCTTTTTATGAAATTTTTAGCTGTATCTCACTAAGTTGCTGAGGCTGGCCTGGAATTTTCCATCCTCCTGCCTTAGCCTTCTGAGTGATTGGGATTATAGGTATGCCCACTGTGCCTTGAAGCAAGGCCCCTTTTCAAGGTGTTTGTTTTTGTTTTATTTTTTAAGAGTTTAGCCATTTATTCATTTGTTTGTTTGTTTGTTTATTTTTAATGTACTGCAGAGGATTAAACCCAGTGCCTCACCCATGCTAGGCAAGTGCTCTACCACTGAGCCACAGTCCCAGGCCCTCAAGATGTTTATCAATCTGTGGTTTCAATCTGTGGGTGAAGGCTTTGTACCCAGTGTTCTAGTCTGTTTTACGTTGCTATCACTGAGCACTCGGGGCTGTGTAATTTGTAACTAATAGAAACTGGTCTCTCACAGATCTGAAGGCTGGGGAATCCGAGGAAAAGGTGTTGGCAGGCCTGGGAAGCCTTTGCCTTCTCCTGTGACAGTGCCTTGCAGGTCAAGGCAGAAAGTGGAAGGCTAAGAGAAGGTCCCCTGAAAGCCCTTCTGTGGAGGCGCTGAGTCCGCCTGTCGGGTTGGAACCCTTGAGGCCCGCCCCTCTTAGAGGCCTCCCCTGAACTGTCGTGTTGGCAGTTACATCTCACCCTGAGCTTTGAAGAGGGCAGACGTTCAAGCCGTGGCTTTTGTTGTATCAGTTGCTTGATGGCTTTCCTCGAAGACAAGTCACAGCCCTGGCACTGCTGTGGGCAGGTCTCTGGCACCTATGGTGGCCCATCCAGGTGGTTTCCAGCGGTGCTGCCTCAGGGCAGGCACCAAGTTGCACCTGTGGGCCAGCCTCCAACTCATGCTCTGTTTCCCACCTTGGAGACTTGGAAGTGCAGACAGGATTCCCAGGAAGTTGGCCCCTACCTCCCTGAGGTCCCAGGGTGTGTTCTCAGGCTTTTGAAGCTTTTTATTTTAACCAGTTTTCATTGAAGACATGTAAGTTTTACTTACAGAGGTGGTTTATCTCGGTTTAGAGGGTGTCTTGCCGAGTCATGGGTATGTTAGGGCGAGAGCTCAGAGGGCGAGGGGCTGTGCTGTCCTTGGGGTGACCTTCATTCTCACCGTGGCTGCCGCCTTGGCAGCGTCACATCCCTATGGGAGAGAAAGATTTCAGGAAGGGGAGGAGGCCCACCCAACTCCACGGGCTCATGTTGTGGCCCTACCCCTGGCCACTGCTCCTTCCTGGGCAGCCGTGAGCAGCCATGTCAAGGCCTGCCACATGTTGTCACCAGCAGGAGGCGCCTGCTGCCTGGGCCTTGCTCTGCACAGTCTGTGCCGTCAGGGGGCTCCTCCGTGTCTCTCTTTTGGCTTCTTTAGCACTGAAGAAGGAAGTGGAATCTCTAACCAGGGAGCAGGTGGAGGCCAGGGAGCAGGCAGACAAGGACCGCGCAGCCTTGCTCTCCCAGGTGCGGCTGTTGGAGTTGGAGCTGGAGGAGCAGCTCTCGCAGCACCGTGGCTGTGCCCGGCAGGCCGAGGAGGAGGCTGTGGCCCTGAAGCAGCAACTGGCTGCCCTGGACAAGCAGCTGCGCAGCCAGCGGCAGTTCATGGACGTAAGCAGCCTGGGCAGTAAGCCATATTCCCTTACTAGGTCCTCACAGCAGTGGCTTCTGCCACAGGACCCTGCAAGCTGGCATCCAGTGCCCCCTGTGCAGGCAGATGGCTGTGTGGCCGACTCCGTGGGCTCTTGGGTCCTGACAGTGTTTCGTGATGATGATTCTGAGAGGTGTCTGTATACCTGGCCTTCCCCTGCAGGGAGCCCAGGGCCATCTCTGTGGACCCCGGCTGTCTGCTCCTGACTGGCTTCCATCTGCCCCTTACAGTGGTGTCAAGTGTTTCAAAGGCCACCTTCACATTTCAGCTAGAGGGGTGCCCCTCTTCACCTTACTCCTGTTACAAAAGGACCAGGATGAGAGGGGCTGTGCCCAGGAGCAGCCCATATTACTGGGTGGGTGGACGTGTGCGGCGGGGCAGCCATCCTCGCCCAACTGCCACAGGTCTCCTGGGGTGGTCCTTGCAGGAGCAGGCTGCTGAGCGTGAGCATGAGCGTGAAGAGTTCCAGCAGGAAATCCAGAGGCTGGAGGGGCAGCTCCGCCAGGTGGCCAGGCTGCGGCCCCTGGGCCCCTGTGACAGTCAGGTGGGTAAGCTGCCGTTGGCCCTGCCTTCTGGGGAGCCCATCTCTAGAGTGTTTCTAAGCTTTGTCTCTCTTTACATTTTTGCCCTCCGTGGACTCAGGGACGTCAGTGTGCACAGCTGGATGAGGAGGTAGGATGGCAGCGCCGCCTGTGCCCCTTCTACACAGCTGATGCCCCCTGCTGGCTGCGGCTCCCTCACCTGTGTGGCCAGCAGGGGCCACATGCACCACCCTGTGTCTTGGTGCTTTCTTGGCTTTTGCTCAGGTCTGTGACTATCTGCAGCCTCTTGTCTGAGCTGGCTCTAGGTGATTTCCTTATTCTTTTTTAAAATTAAACTTATTTTGAGGATATGGTGGGTTCTGTGTGGTGGTAAGAAGTAAGGCTCAGAGAGAACCCTGTTCCATGGTTGCATCCTGCAGAACCCGACAGGGCTGCGGTGGAACAGAGCCATGTGCCCTGCAGTACCCTGTGCCCCTGGCAGCGCGGACCCGCCCTGTCTCTGGAGCATTCTGTAGTGGAGTCTTGGATGCTGCCACTGGGGACTGGCTTTCTCCCCTGGTTCTCTGGAGAGCCACCCAGGTGGTTGCGTCCTCAAGGGGTCTTTTTGTTGCCGAATAGTAATCTATTCCTTTCTGTCAAAGACAGTTTTAATCTACTAACTTGTCTTGTCTTACATTATTGCTTTTATGGATCTTCTTGTTAGGAGAGAGTGCCCTTCCTGAAACTTCAACCTGGGTCTCATTCTTGTGTGGGCTTCATTGTGCAGCTGAGGTCTGGAGAGACTTCTGTCACTTGCGTTGTGTGCTTTCTTTGTTGGGAAGAGAGGTTGCTGTTCAACAGTCTGTTTCATTTCTCATGCTTTTTTGTGTTTCAGATTGAACTATTGCAAGAAAAGTTGAGAGAAAAATCGGATGGATTTAATGAGTTGGTTATAAAGAAAGAGTTGGCAGATAGGCAAGTGTTAATCCAGGAAGAAGAAATTAAACATCTGGAGGAGACAAACGCCAACACCAAAAGACAGGTGGCCCAGCTCCAGGAAGAACTGGAAAAACAGAAAAAGATGGTGAAAAAACTACAAGTAAAGCAACTGCATCCTAGGACTGCAATGGATGGCTGGGGTGCACAAGGGGCAGCACCTCACTCCCACTCTGCCCAATGCTCCACCTGCCAGGAGCCAGTGCACCATGAGTCCTCAGTGGCCTGCTTAGTGGTTCGCGTCTTGCTCACTTCCTGCCGACTTAGTCGCTCACTTAGTTGCTGATTTAGTTGCTCGCTTAGTTGCTCATATCTTGCTGACTTAGTTGATCACTTCTTACTGGTCTAGTTGCTGACTTCTTGCTCATTTAGTTGCTTAGTTGCTCACCTCTTGCTTGCTTAGTTGCTCACTTAATTGCTTAGTCATTGCTGACTTAGTTGCTCACCTCTTGCCCACTTTATTGCGGCCTGAGCTTCTAACTGCCCAGGAAGTGGCACTGTTTCCTTTGACCATTTGGTTGGTGGAAATCGAACTTCTGACTTTTAGTTCATATCACTGGAAGTTAAAACGTCCCTTAAAAAATGAGGCCCAAAGAACAGCCTAACTTGAGAGTCAGACTGAATTTTGTTCAAGGGTGACTCAGTTTTCATCAGCCTTGCCTGGTTCTTGTGAGTGCTGGTGGGAGGGACTGAACCCCCAAGGACAGGGTGCCCTGGTTTCACCACCCTGGGAAGGACACCTCAGCACCTGTGCTTCCTGGTGGTCCTGCTTAGCCTTGCCCCACAGGAGATCCTTCCCTGATCCAGCACTTCCTACATGTCCCTTTGTTCATTCACTCAGCAGACATTCACTGAGCTCCTTAGTGCTGCAGGTGAAGAAAGTGGCTTTCCCCCCCAGGTCCAACCACCTGTACAAGTTGGTGTGCTAGCTTCTTGCCCCCCTGTGTGTGATGTTTCCCCCACTTAAAATGTGTTGAGGGTGCTGTGAGCCATATCCTTCCTCTTGCCAGTTTTTTTTCTAGTGTTTTGGAATTGGAGATAGCCTAGTGACTGTTTTTGTGCCTTGTCAAGTGATCACCAAGGTCTCTCCCAGTGGGATCATGGTGCTCCTATGGCTCTCTCCAGTGTTGGGGGGGTCTCAGCAGGAGCTCAGATGGGTTCTGTTTAGTGTCTGTGGTCTGGAGCCCCTGGGCACAGGTGAGTGCAGGGCCCCCATTGCTTTAGGATATCTCAGGATGGTCTATGTTATAGAGGCAGCAGAGTGAGGTCCTTGATTCTGTAAGTGTCTGCCTAAAATAAATTTCCATCTCTTTCTTAAATAGGAAGAAGAGGCAGCAAAGGAACAGCAGAGGAGTGACGTGATACTGGTGCCGCTGCCGCAGTCTAGGACCCCCGAGGGCAGGTGTCCCATGCCTCCAAGGGGCAGCCCCCGGGAAGGCGCAGAGGTCCTGTCAGAGGCGCTGCAGAGGGCCCTGCTTCAGCACGAGAGCCAGGCAAGTGTGGTGCAGGCAGCAGCAGTGCCCATATTTGGCATCGTCAAAAGATATGTGCCCAATGTGTGCTATCTCCTTTGTAATTCTGTCACTTTTAGGTGATACTTTTTATATTTCTAAAATTTTCAGAGCTATTTTGATTAATTATTAAGTCAGCTAGAAAATTAGATGATTTTTAATACTTTTTGGTTTTAATGCAAGGTTTTGGACTTAAAAGAACAACTAGAAAAGATGAAAGATGACCTAGTAAGTAAAAATGAAGAAATACTACATCTGAAGTTAAAACTAGATGTGCAGAGCGACCCTGCGGCCACCAGCACCCGGGGGCTTGACGAGGAGAGTGCCGGTATAAAGGTAGGCCACAGGGACCTGCTGGAGGCCTAAGCTGGTGCTGCCCGAGCATGACACCGCCCCACTCCAGCCTTCCCTCCAACAGAGACGGGCGCCTGAGCGGGCAGACCGTTCTGGCTCCACGTGGCCCGGCGCGCGTGGCCGCAGCTGTCTCTGAGCCAGAGCAGAGGGCCAGCAGCCCTCCAGCCCTGTGTCCTGTTTCTGGCACTGGCAGTCAGGCCTCCAGAGGGTCTTGTTGGGGTAGAGTTGCAGCAGAGCTTCGTCCCTGTGGTGGCTGGGAAGGAAACCCACCCTCAGTTAGGCCTTAGCACAGACCCTTCCCACTTCTTCATGGGAAGAGCTTGTTTGTGCATTGGCCCAGTGGAGAGGGACGCAGCCTCCATAATGGGATTGGTGTGGGAGGGAACCTTTAGCAATCTCAGGGGTGACTTTGACGTACCTTGTTTGGGGTTGTCCCGTGGTACCAGCAGCACTGTTTCACCACGAGCTGCTAGTGTGGGAGAAATGCGGGCCTGCCTGGCCCTCTCAGTCGCCTCTCCACAGTGACGGGCTGCCTGCGAGTTGAAGGTGTTTGCTGAGCTGTCCTCCCAGGGAGCCTCTCCCCTGGCAGAGCAGGGAAAAGGCCTCCCCTGTTCTTTGAGACCCTTTGAAGTGTGTGGCCTGGGAAGCGCAGGGATGGAATCCGGAAAGCCAAACACCCGCCATTTCAACAGACAGAACAGTTTCTAGTGGGGTTTCCGACTGTCAAGTTTAAACTAGAGGCCTGCTTAGTTAGGAGGGTCTGTGGTGCCTGTGAGGTCAGGGTTCACGAGCAGGTCTCTGTGGGCTTCGTTACGGAGGTGATGCGCCCAGCAAGGCGGTTCCTGTGCTGGGCTTGCAGCCGTGGCTCCTGCATTTGTGATACTTTGTTTTGCTAACTTTGGAGAATGGTATAATGATGGCTAGGGCATTAAGGTAAAGAGTTTTGTGGGCAGTTTTTCATTAAAACTGTATTTGTTGGCAGAATTTAAAAATATCCTCTTGCATTACCTTGAGGAATGTCTTTAAAGCATTAATTAATTAATTAATACTTTTTTGTATTGGGGATTGCACCCAGGGGCACACTACCACCGAGTTACCTCCCCAGCCCTTTCAATTTTTTATTTTAAGAAAGAGTTTTGTTGAATTGCTAGGGCTCACCCCAAACTGGTGATCCCCCTGCAGTGACCACAAGTGACCACTGTCACTTCAAATATTTCCCCTATGATAACCCTTTGTGGTCACCACACACTGTTCCCAGCCCTTGACAGTGTTGCCACCACTTACTTGTCCTTGATCCAAGATGTGGCTGCAGTTTTTTTTTTTTGTTGTTGTTGTTTTGTTTTGTTTTTTTGTGGTGCTGGGGATCGAACCCAGGGCCTTGTGCATGCAAGGCCAGCACTCTGCCAACTGAGCCATATACCCAGCCTCTTATACTGCAGTTTTGATTTTTCCAAAATTTGGAGTCTGCTCCCTTGGCATGATATGTTTGAGTCTTAAGCCTGTTGCTCTATGCACCATTGGAACCTCCGGAGTGTCCTGGGGAACCACCGGGATTCCCCTGCTGCTGAGCCCCGCCCCACCCTGGGGATCAGGGAGCCCCTGCTGCTGAGCAGCGCTCTGGGGATGTACTGCCATGGTTTTCACTTGCTCTTGTTGGGTTGTTTTTTGTTTTTCAACTTGGATTGTTTTTTGGTTTTATCAAACACGATCAAATTGCTGTGAAGATTCATATGGAGGTTTTTATGAGAAAATAAGTTTTTATTTCTTTTGGTTAAATGTCTATAGTTTTGTAGCCAATCCATTTGTTAGGAAAATGTTTTACCTGAAGAGAACTTGGGAGCTGCTTCCTCCCTCCCATAGCTGTCCTCCCAACTGCCATGTCCTCTTTTGCTCATGGTGGTCAGTCTTGTCCATCCTAAGAAATGTGACAGTTGTATCCTTGTTTAATTGGCATTCCCTTAAGGAGTTGGTCCTGAGTATCTTTTTATGTGTATATTTGCCACTCATATCACGGGGAATTATTTGTTCTAATTTTTGGTTAAGTTTCTAAAAGTTTATTCCTGTTGGGCTTTGGGAATTCTGAGCACAATTTTTTTTGATACGTTCTTTGCCAATATTTTTTCCATTCTTGTATCTTCCTTCTCTTAACATGTACTTCATAAGCAAAACTTGGTTCTGATGAAGCCAATGTATTGAATATTTCATGCTTTTGGAGTTGTATCTGAGGGTTTTTGCCTAACCCCACGGCATGAAGTGTTCTGTTTTCTTTTGGGAGTTTCGCAGTGTTTCTTTGTGTTCAGGTTTTGATATGCTTTTTTACTTTTTGGCAACATCTGCCTCATTGTGCTGGTGTGTGCTGAGAGTCTGCTCTCGGAGCTGTTCTCGCCCCTTCTCAAACCCGAGCTGCCGGTGCTTGCTTGAACCTACTTCTGAGCTCTTTCTCATTGACGATGCCACCGTGCCTGTGGCGGGAGTTTTACGGCCAGTGCTGCTGTTTGGATCTGGAACTCCCCCCACCCTGGATGGTGGTGTTGGGAGGTGGTGGAGCCCCTGGAGGTGGGTCCCCGTGGGAGGAAGTGAGGTCCCTGGGTTGTGCCCCTGAGGGCATGTTGGGACCGACCTGCTTGCTCTGGCTTTCTGGTCAAGGGGAACAGGCCTCCTCCTCCATTGGCTCCCACCACGACGAACTGTACTGTCATGGGGCCTCACAACCATGGATGGAGGCCTGTGAGCCACCAGCCAGAAGCACTCTATACTCTGGGTGGTGCAGGTGTCATGACAGCGATGGGAGGTGACGCGTGACGTCTGGAGTCAACAGTGCTCACTCTCCAGTGTGTTCAGTTTTCTGTGCTGGTTCCTGCCTTTCCACGTGAGCTTTCAGCGGAGATGCCCTCCTCTGGTGGCCATTGCAGCTGTGGGGTGGCCACTTCTTTTCTGCTCTTCAGATTTGGCCACATGTTCCTGGTTCACCGCTGGGTATCTTAAGTGATTTGGATTGACATCCTTGACATTGTGCAGGTGATGGGGACTCTGGCTTCTGGAGTGTTGAGGCTTGGCTAGCCTCTGAGCTGCACTCTCTTATTTATAGGGACAGTGACCACCCTTGCCCCAGTGATGGCATTGGCTTGTCATATGGAACTGACGTGGAACTTGGGGGGTCTCACTCCCTGCTTCTCTGTCTCCTGGGGGTACTCCTCCCTCTGTAGCCTGACTGCCTTGTGTCCTCCTCCTGGGCCTGGTCTGCCTATGTCACCTGAGGGCAAAGTCTCAGAGCCAAAACCCTGCCATCCAGTGGCCTCTGCCATCGCTGAGCCCCCTACACCGCCCCC